AATAAAAATATGAGGCGACGTCGTTTGCTCATGATGAAGATGTCCACGTTCTGTTTGGCATGACCTGTTTGAGACAGTTGTATGAAGAGTTGGAGGCGGGAGTGTTGCTCAATGAAATTGTCACTCCGGATGTAGATGCAAGCATATGTGATGCTGCTCGTCCGCCTACAGGTCATGATTTCCATTAGCAACAACATATGATGACTGAGGAAGCTGGATTTTAGAACATGTTGTATTTTTTTGATTGTTTTTTTTTTTTTAATTTTCTCTGGCTGACTGAAATTCTTGACAAGGAAACTGGTCCAGCTTTATTATAGGAATTGCATGTCAGTGTTCTGTCAGTGAACATAATTAATTTGTTGCTGCTTTCACCAATTAAAGGAAATCTTAAGGATTTAATTGAGCTTCAAATGTGACTTCAAAGGGGATCAAACTTCATCGGTTAGTCTGTCATTTTTTTTCAATGTCTGGATTTGGTTGCAGACTGGCAGCAGGTGTTCAGATATGAATCTGTCAGAGACATTAGGAGAGGTTTTTGTATTGACTTCAGTGGAATCTGTAGTACTGTGCTGACTAGCAGCACAGAAATACACGGCACTGTCAGTCACTGAAACATTAGAAATGGCCAGGTTTGAATATTTTTTGCCATCTCCATCAAAGCTGATTTTCCCTTTGACATCATCCTCAATGTTTGGAAATTCTAGATTTAGGTATCCCAGAAATTGTAGGACTCCTTTTTCATCTTGCTTGTACCAGAGAATGACCTGATAACCTGGTATGCTGTGTGAACATTTGATTTCACTTTCAACAGATTCACCAATTCTCTTAATGATGGATGGAGGTGTTTGGTTGGCACGTTTTGTGTCAGATGCCCCTGTGGAAAAGCAAAGAAATGACATTAAATACAGAAATCTTTAACAATACATTATGTGTTTTATCATTAGTGTTGTTGTTTTCCCTACCTGTCATTTCTGGCAAGTGAAGAAAACAAAATATAGAGACCACAGCAATCATGTCAAACAATTTAAGCTATCTGTCCTTTTGCGTATTGTCAGTTCATCAGCTGTGGATGACAATAAATCGCTGGTAACAGATAACCTGAGGAGGTGTCTGCAGTTGTTTGTGTCATTGCACGTCATAGCTGAGCAGCAGAATCTTCATAAGACAGTCTGTGAAAGTGATGGTTTCATTTATTGAACTCTGTCTCCACCTAGTGGAGTAAATGGAGTGAAGGCTATGTGGAGTTAGATGCTGTGGCTCAGACTTTATACAGGAACAGGCTCACAGTGTGGCTGATTATTAATTTAGCTAAATCGATTCCTTTTATTCAGTTTCAGTTAGCTGGATCTAAAATGGTAAACATGACTGGAAGTGAGCACTTTAATTATTACACGGTAGAACATTTACAGTAATTCTGAGTACTTCTTATTTTCTCTATCATACATTTCAGTTACAAATATCATGTGCTGCCAAGAATATTTTTGATCATCTCTATAAAGTCAGAATATAAAGAATAACTGTCACAGATAAAAAGCTGCAGGTGCATATATTGTGTGGTGGGTACCACAGTAGAGGAGATTAGTTGGTAAAACTTTGCACTGACAGTGTCCTGGGGTTTTTGTTCAGCTACTGGGTGCATCTGTATCACTGTGTTTGCTCACAGCACAGAAATACAAGCCTTTATCTGTAGGCTCCAGATTCTTTATTGTGAACGTCCCAGTGTAAGCGTCAGGCTTGGTGGCTGCGAATTTCTCCCTGCTGAAATTTCCAAAATCATGATCAGGT